GCACGTTTTCCCTGGTTTGTGTTTTGTTCACCCCAGTGGGGAACTGGAGCCCCAGAGAGGGGCAGCTTCTCTCCAGCTGGCAGCTGGCCGTTGACAGAGTCGGGATTCGAACCAGGCCTGGCTACTCCTCACTGCTCTCCCGGCCCTTCTGTCCCCAGCACCTGTCCCTTCCCTTCTGTGCTTTTCCCCTCTTGCTGGTCCCTTCCACGTTATTTTTTGTCTTTCTTTCCCAACCCCAAGCCCATCCACACAGTCACCCTTTGTTTGGCTTAACCGGTTTCTCATGCACAATTTCCAAGCGCCAGGCAGAGTTAGCATTTCACGTCGATTACCTCACATGGTCCTCACGGCAGCTTTGCTGGGTAAATATTAATATGCTCCTTATTTGTAGAAACTGAGTGACAGAGCTGCTAAGGAACTGGTACAAGTTCACACAGCTGGAGTGTGGGAGAGCCAGGGTTTGGGTCTGAATTGTGTGGTTGACCACCACCCACACCCCCTCCACCCAGGAGCGGGGGGTCTCACTCTCGGTCTGCAGGAGCCGAAGCCTGCACTCAGCTGTGCCTGTGTGGCCGGTGCGGTGCTAGCAAAGCCAGCAAAGACATGCAGCAGTAGGTCTGAGTGGAGGGCTTGCCAGGGGCGCGGGTGCCCTAGTGTGGCCTGAGATGGCCCCACGCTGCGGCATGGTCCCCCCACCTGTCTCAGATGCTGTGGCGGGCATTTCAGTTTGAGACCGCGCTCTGAAAGCTACATCTTCTGTCTCTCTCCCTGTCCCTGTGTCTGTGAATCAAACTCTGTCTTCTGCCTTGTCTCTTTCAGTCTCTCTGCATCAATTGTCTGTGCCTGCCTAACTGTCCCTCTCCTTCTCTGTCTCCCTTTGTCTCTTTATCTCTCTCCTGTCTCTCCATCTGTCTCTGTCTCTTTTTATGCCTCTCCCTCTGTCTCTCCATCTCTGTTTTTCTGGGTTACTCAGACTCTGTCTCTCTCTATCTCTCTCTGTCTCTGAGTGTTCCCCATTCTTCTTTCTCAGCTTATTTCCTTCCCTCATCTATCCTCTCTCATTCCTCTCGTCCCTTGCTGATGACCACCCATCCATCAGGCCCGCAGCCACGTCCACCTGGCCCCTCTGTCACGTGCTGATCAACAGTGCCCACTGCTGCCCCCCGGTGCAGCCAGGCCCTCTCTGTGCGCCTGCAGCTGTCCTAAGTTGCAGTCAGAGGAAATCTTGGCTCTTGACCCACTCATCTTGATCTGCAAGTGCAGGGAAGTAAGAAACAGGGACTTGGGCAACAGGCACACTTTGCCTTGCTCTGAGGCCTGTGGGAGAGCCGGAGTCCAGGTGATTGTCGGGTCCACTGCTATGCCAAATGTCATACTCAGGGTTAGGGTCCAGCCCATGCTGAGGCTGGAGGGGAGGGCTGGATGAGCAGATAGCTGAAAGAACAGGCAGGGGCCAGAGGTAGGGGAAATGTAGTTTTGCTCAGCAGCTCTCTCATCGGCAGCTCACTTCCACTGGCTCTTATGCTGCTCTCCCAGCGGCAGCTTGCTCTCACACTGTCTGCTGTCTCGGCTGCTTAGCCCAGCAGCTCCTCTGCTGAGAGGACCCACAGCTGCGTGTCCGGCTCTCCCTGCCTTCAGGGCCAGCAGCGTCACTCTTTCTCTGGGCACAAGCAAGCCGAGCTATGTCCTGGCTACCTCCTGTCTGCAAGACGGACGGCTTTGGCTCTCTCTCTTTCTCTGGGATTGAGCATGCATGTGCAGTGTCAACAGGGCAGTTATACCTTTTACAGACAGCAGTGGCTTAGGGCCACAGATGGCCTTCCCATGTTGTGGCTGCATAGCTGTGTTTACATGATACGTGGAATTGCGCGCCTGCGCCACAAACTCACCGAGTCCCTCTGGCCCAATGTCCGCCTCGGCCTGTTCCTTGACCAAAGCACAGCCATGTTCCTGACAGTGTTGTGTAGCTGGGTGGCCTGCTGCAAGGAAGCATGCCCAGGACTGGAAATCAGGAGACCTTGATTTGAATCCTGGTGCCACCACTGAGTTTCTGTGTGCCCTTGGACAAGGTGCACCCCTACGGCTCTGTTTCCTCATCTGGAGGTGGAGGGTGAGATTCCGTGGGCTGGGAGACTTTTGTCCACTCACCAGTCCGAGGCCCACAGTTGGAAGCCTGCCTGCTCCTCCAGGGACCCTGCTCTGACCCTCCCCATCCCAGGCAGTAGAAAGAGACCAGGATGAAGGGACAGGAGGGCTCATTCTGGCGCCAGTGCCAGCACACCAAGCTGGGGTTAAGTGGCTTCACCTCCCTGAGCCTCAGTTTCCTCATCTCTTGGTGCTTGGGCCTGCCAACCTCAAAAGAGTTTGAAGGGGATGGCGTAGGGACAGATGTGGAATCACTTGGCAGAGACGAAACCCAGGCAGCTCCTCTCACCATTCGCCCCAAGTGTCATGTGATGGAAAGACCTTTTATTTTATTTTTATTATTTTTATCTTTTCTGAGATAGAGTCTCACTCTGCCGCCCAAGCTGGAGTGCAGTAGTGCAATCTCGGCTCACTACAACCTCCGCCTCCCAGCTTTAAGCAATTCTCCTGCCTCAGCCTCCTGAGTAGCTGGGACTACAGGCACCCCCCACCATGCCTCGCTAATTCTTTTGTATTTTTTAGTAAAGACAGGGTTTCATTGTGTTGACCAGGCTGGTCTTGAACTCTTGACCTCAGGCAATTAGCCTTCCTCGGCCTCCCAAAGTGTTGGGATTACAGGTGTGAGTCACCAGGAAAAACTTTTTAAAAGATTAGTGTATAATTGTGCTTGAAAATACATGTGTACATCAACGTTCTGGAATTCTAAAATAATTTCGGAAAGACAGAAAACATGTAGGATTAAGTTTATATAGATGCAAGGCCAGGGGCCTGCAAACTAAACTGCAGAGCCCAGAGAGGGATGGGGCACCCCCAGGTTCACATCAATGGGTTTGGGGAATGGAGGGACCCTGGGGCAGCTGTCAGTAATTCACTGGTTTCCTGAACTTGGAGATGCAGAGTCAAGCAGCCTCTGCCTATCCTGAGTAGTGGGAAGCCTCAGTATTTGTTTCCAGATGAAGGGAAAGATCCACTCCCCAGGCAGCCAGCAAGCCCCTGGAGGGATAGGAGCAGCCACACAAAGAAGAAAACCTTCCGTGCATCCCACCTGCGGGAGGTTCCTCCTGGCCCTGCCACGGCCAGAGGAAGTGGCAGTGAATGGAATCAGTGTCCACCAGTGGGCAGCCACCACAGCAGCCACGAGCAGACAACCAGGCACCTGTGACCCCTGGAAGAAAAACAGCATCCTGAAAGAGCAGCGCCTACCTCAAAAAGAAACAAATCACCACTTGGGAAATGAGATTCTAGAGAAAGAGGAGAGTTCAACAGAATTTGTAGGTATAATCTCCCGGTCATTCAGTAAACGTCAGCAGGCCCACACTGAGGCTCCGGGAACCCAAGAACGGAAAGAGTGAGCGCCCCTCCCATCCTCGTGTGAGCGGGGAGGTGCTGTGCACGGATAATAGATGCAAATTGAATTAAGGGAGATGAGGGAGAAGAAAATGAGCCCATACTGCCGCCGACAGCCTCTCATTTAGATGAAAAGGTCAGGAGGTGACACTACACCTGAGCCCCGAATGGTGCAGCAGAGGCAGCGGCGGGAACAGGAGGCCGGGAACAAAGTGGCTGTGTCTGAGCAGCCTGAAGAGGGGAGCCATGGCTGCTGGGGTGCAGGTGGAAGACCGTTCAGACCAGTGTGAACCCATCTTTTAAGTGTCTGCCCAACTGAGTTCTTGCAGCCCACCTGGAAGAGGGACCCCAGCTGGGAACAGCAGGTCTGAGTTAACCCAGGGTTAGAACACACCAGCACCTGGGAGTTGGCTCAAGAAAACCAGGGCACCGCTGGGGGGAGACTACAGCATTCATTCACTACCTATCCTAAGCAGCGATGTTCTCAGGTGACTTGGTCACGGGTATCTTTTGCTTTTTTTGGAGACAGAGTCTCACTCTGTCACCCAGGCTAGAGGGCTGGAGGGCAGTGGCATGATGACAACTCTCTGCAGCCTCTGTCTCCTGGGTACAAGCGACTCTTGTGCCTCAGTCTCCCAATCAGCTGGGACTACAGGCACGTGCCACCACACCCAGCTAACTTTTGTATTTGTACCGGAGATGGGTTTTCACACCATGTTGGCCAGGCTAATCTGTACCTCCTGACCTCAGGTGATCCACCCACCTTGGTCTCCCAAAGTGCTGGGATTACAGGTGTGAACAACTGCACCAGGCCTTTTTTTCCTTTGTTTTGAGAGTCATAGGTATCTTTTGAGGATGGGGTTATTAACATCCCCATAGTAATTAAAACGCTCTCAGAGAGGTGAAGTGACTTGCTCAAGACCTACAGGAGTAAGAGATTCAGTCAGCTCCGTCTGAATGTAAACAGATGAAAGTGCAGATGGTGGCTTCCCGCTAGCCAGCAATTCACCCTGACATCGATTTTGAGCACTGGGGACATGGTGCATGTTTGTGCGTGTTTACTGGACAAATGAATGATGCATAAAATATGCCTGCAGTTTTATGAACTGCATTACAGACCCCACTCACCCATGGCTTTGTTTGACCCCGATGAAGAATTGTGAGATGAAGAGACAGTGTGGCTGACAGAAGCCACGAGGCCATCTCTTGGCCACAGATTTGAAAAGTGAAAAGCAGAGAGATGAATCCAGTTGTTCTGACCTTTGACCTATGTTCCTCGTCCTCCAATATGCATCCTGCCTAGGTCTGGTGTGTATGTGTGTGTGTGCGTGCATGTGCATGCATGTGTGCACTTGTGTGTGCGTGCCTGCATGTGTATGTGTGCACACGTGTGGACAGCCGCTTCTCCCCGCCGTCCTTGTCTGTGACGGTCACTGTGGGGATGTGTGCTGGGCCACTGCCTGTGGTCACTTACCTGCTCTTTATTTCTCCATTCCTTTTTTTGCCAGGGGGAGCGAGGCCTGGATGGATTCCCTGGGAAGCCTGGGGAGGCAGGACAGCAGGTAGGTGGGTACTGACACTGTTGGGCTAGGTTTCATCAGAGGTCAGAGGACGGGGGCAACAGGACCCCACACGAAGCTCCACAGAGCCTCGGAACCTGGGCATCCTCCTTGCTCAGCTGGAGGCTGCAGGAGGCTAGGACCAGACCCCAGCTGTGTGGCTGTAGGTTGACTGCGAACTCCAGAGCTGGAGGGATCCCAGTGCATAGACCACTTGAAATCCATTTTACATCAGGCAAGGTGATGCGCTACTATAGTGTAAAGGCCTCTGACCACGCACACATTTTCAAGGTTTTGTGTGTAAGCAACACTCATTGCAATCTTGTCCCCAGAGGGAAGGATTCAAAACAGCCTCAATTCTCCTCAATATGGAGCTAGCTAAATAAATCAGGATGCAAGGACACAGGGAGTGCTATGATGCTCAGGACATTCATGAAGAAACTCTGGATGGACTGATGTGAGTGGTCTGCAAGGCACGTGGTTCAGTGGAGAATCAAGAACAGTGTGGAATGGTGTGGGGGAAAACACACCTGTGACTTATAAAGACCATCTCTGCAAGAATCAGCAAGACAGTGATTCTGTTCTTGCTGCTCGGTTGCCCCCAGAAGGGGACTTTAAATATTTATGCACTTCAGTTTTGAGCCATATGAACATATAATCTATTCTAAAATAAACTACATTTACATATTTAAATTTAAAAATTAAAACCTGAAGTCATACATTCATGTTAAAGCCAGTTAGTAAAATGCTATGTTGCATAGCATCATTTAACATATTTGTCAATTAATATATTTATACAATATGAAATCATAGATAAAACATATGTACATAAATATATTCTATACCATTGAATTACAATAAATAATAATATATAGTTCATTCCATCTCCCACATATATCTGAATTTGTATTTATTGTCATGTAACAAATTGGAACTGTACTTTTTATATCTTGCTTTTCTTTCCTCAACATTTTATAATAAACATGGAACCATTTAAAAAAATACTCACCAAAGGCCTGACTCAAATGATCAGTTAATGGTCTGTGGTAGAAATGTACCACGATTTATTGATTTGCTTAAAAATATTCATCGTGTGCTGTCTCAGTGGTAGTCCTGGCTCTCGTCACTGGAAATACCCCACTTGATGATAGCCAAGAGGGAAAGGAATCCTTCCCATAGATGAGCGTGGGAAAACAGTGACCCAGCACACAGATGCAAGGCAGGTGGCCTGGGGCTGCCGGTGAGGGGCTCAGGGTGTGGGGAAGCCAGCCCTGAGGAGGGCCGCTGCTGTTGCGGAGGCTTTGGTTGCTCGGATCTTTGCTGTTGAGAGTAAAGAGGAAGTGAGGGAGATTTGCATGCATCCTGGAGTGCATGTCTATGTCCTTAGGATCCTTCCCTACACAAACCCTCTGTCCATGGACAGAGATTGATCGTGCAGCTGCCCTCCAGGCCCTCCCTGGGGTCTGTGAGGACGCTGGCTAAGGACTGCCCTGCACTGTGACTGCCAGGCCGTCCCCACACCCCCTCCTGCAAGAGCTGGGGAAGCTCAAGTGGTCTCCTGGCCACTCGTGGAAGGCTTCCCAGCAGGGACATTGAAGAACAGGAGGGATACGTCTTCAGCATCCCCTGCACCAGCTCTCTGGGACTTGGGGTTCTCTGTGGCCCTAACTAATCCTGGCCAGAGTCCGGGCAACCCTTTTCCTCTTGCCTGGCACCTCACCAGTCCTTGGCGCCTCTAAGGATTTCCTTGACTCCACCACACTCCACCTTCTCTGCTCCCTGGGCCAGGCCAGGTCCTGGTTATTCGCTGCTGCTTCCTCCTGCCCAGGTCCTCATGTCCTTTAGGAAGGCGTTCATTGTTTTCTCCGAATGTGTCATCCGTGCTGTAGAGCCAGTGCAACTGCAGACGAGAAAGCATGGAGATACGGAGCTTAGGTTAGTTTGAGGAAGAACTTTCTAGCAATAAGCACAGTCCAGAAAGTTGGGTCTAAAGGGACTTTGGCTTCTGAAGAAAAGCCCAGCCACAAAGGGGCAAAGGGGAGCTGCAGCTGTCTTTCAACCTCTTCCAACCACCCCCTCCCCACCACGGTATCCCTAGTGCCTGTCATAATCCGCCTTTTTGTTCTTTTTTCCAGGGGAGGCCTGGCCCTCCTGGTGTGGCAGGACCCCAGGGAGAGAAGGTGAGCAAGCTTGGGACTGCGGAGGGCTCTGCGTCCTGGGCAGGCAGGTGTGGGGACTGCCCACCTTGGCAGATCAGGCACAGGGAAGGAGCGTGGGTTGCAGCTCTGGGAACAAACTCCACACAGAGTGGAGGGTAGGGGATCAGGAACTCACAAACAAGACATTCCTGGCTGTCATGCTGAATTTTTTTCTACATTTAGGAATAAAAATCCATTTAAAAAGCAAAACAAGTTCTATTATATAATATTCAGATATATTGAAATCTTATGCTATTTACAATGCTTTTTGGACTAAGGAAGGCTATGAATAAATATAAAGAATCTTATAAAAATTCCTTCCTTTTCTTTTCCTCTTCTTTTCTCCTTCTCTGCTGCATTTTGCAAATTTTTAAAAATCAGAATCAGAATCCTGAAAATGTCTTAGATATTTAAAAAACAAAATAAAGGTTGTATCTTTTTATATTTGGCATCAATTTTAGAATATCTGCCAGGCTTAATGAAGTCAATTTGATGCTAAGAATCTCTGCATCTCAGCTGAAACGGTGACATGTAGACATTCTTTGCAAAATGTGAAGGGCCTGCAGAAGCATCCGTGAAAAGAGGCTTCCTAAGCACTGAGGGTAACAAAGAGGGAAAAAGAGAAGGTGTCATGTTGTATTCTGGATTGTCACAGGAGGGGTGACGAGACATAATCTGCATTTCAGTACAAGAGGATGACATTCCTCCAGGTCCCTAGACAGGTCCTTAGGAAGGCATCAGCCATTAGGTTGGAGAAGAGCTGGGGAGAGAGCAGGGACTGAGACGGGAGACATCCAGCCCAGCTCAGACAGCTGGGAGCCCAGCAGCATCACTGCTTCTTGGAGCAGCTCACGGCAGAGTTCAGGTGAAGGTCATTGTCTGACTCAGACTGGTTCCCAGCATATGCTCTAAATATGGGAGAAGGCTGCTCCAACTCCTTATGAAAGCAGACAAGGTATCTTATAAATAAATAAATAGTACGGCTGACACAGACCTCAGCTTAGGATGGGGGCTGGAGAATGTAAATGTCTTCCAAACTCGCTCAGGCTTCAATGCTAGCTGAGTTAATTATTCTCTCTCCTTCGAAGTATTTTTAGAGTTGAGATGTACATTGTTGTATTATCCTGGTGTCAAGATTTTAATATATTCTTGCAGTTTCTTGACAGGGGATGCTAAGTCCTAAAATAAGTAGTTTATTTCAAGTCACAAAAAGGGAATGAGGCTTGAAGTCTGGATCTAGGTGATGACTCTTGCTGCCGTGTGTGTGTGTGCGTGTGTGTGTGCTTGTGTGTGTGCGTGTGTGTGTGTGTATGTGTCTTATAAGTTCCAACCTTCCACCTTGTTTAGAGATTTGGTTTTGCCCTTCATATTAGGGGAACTGCTGAGTTATTATTTCTTATTATGATAAATGCAGCAGAAATGGGAGGAGAAGGTCAAGGACCATGGCGTGATTTGGGGGTTTTCATTGAAATAATTAGGAAAGCAATGAGGCTCAGGTCATAGGATGCCTCTAATATCATTCTGAGATCGCATCCTTGAGACAAATCTTAGATGCTTCACAATTTGGGAAAGTCACTGGAACCATAGGGATGGTTTTTTTTTTTTTTTTTTTTTTTTTTTTTTTTTTTACAGACAGATGTCTAGAAAATTAGTTTCTTGCCCAAGACCCAAAGTGAATCTGATTATCCACCAAGGCCTATCATATTATCTGCCTTTCCATTCGATGATTTACTGCAGATCTAAATGTCACAGGATGCATTTTTGTGCCCTTTTTAACAGTTTCACTGGAATGGGTCCATGGTTGCACTCATCACCTACTGCTGTGTAATAAATCATCCTGAAACTTAGCAGTTGGAAACAATCAGTTCAGATCCCACACGATTCTAGGGGCAGGAATCTGGGATTGCCATGGCTGGATTGTTCTGCCTCATGGGCTGTCCTGAGGTGCAGTCAAGCTGTCAGTGGGGATACACTAATAGCTATCTCAAGGGTCCACTGGGGCTGCAGGATCGACTTCCAAGCTCACTCATGTGGTCTCCAGCAGGCCTGAGCTTCTTGACAGCTGTTGGCCAGAGATGTTTACTTCCCTTTTACACGGGCTTCTCCATGGTACTGTGCACAGAAAGGGAAATCGCTTCTTGAAATTGAGCAGTGAGTGATTCAAGGTTGGGGGAAAGGAGGGCACCTGAGACAGAAGCCACAGTCATTTCTATCACCTAATCTTGGAAGACACCTCCCAGCCCTTCAGCTGTTGCTGTCAGTCACACAGAGGAACGGGGATGGTGTGGGAAGTCCGGCACAAGGGTGCGTGCAGGAAGCAGGGACTGCGGGGGCCTGTCACGGAGACCGGCCACTGCAGTGGCCACAGCTGATCTTTACAAAAACGTGTCACCCATACTGTAGGAAGAAATTGATTCTAGGGAAGACTTTTGGTCCCATTATTTACTAGACTCCTGACCTTGAACAAGTCACTCAGGGTCTCTGTGCTCCAGTTTCCTCATCTTTAAGGCAGGAAAGATAGTATCATAGGGAATCACAGTGAATCCATGTCCAGTCCTTGGAGAAGAGCCCGGAAGGCATAGTCTCTCCAATAACTGTTAGTTGTATACACACAGTTGCTAGGGATGCATACTAGGGTCTTAGTTTTCCTAACAAATTTGTTGGAACATTGGAGCTCGTATGGTGAGCTGAAAGTAATTAAAACATGTATTGATTAATTGATTTCATAACTGTTATTGGAAACTCACTTTCTGTGGTGTAATGTAATATTGTGATAAATACAACAATGAAACCAAGAGAAGTGAATGGGATAGTGACACAAAGTAGCCATAAAAAAAGACATGACTTTGAACCTCAAAAGATTCATTATTCAGCTGTTCTCTCTCTCTCACTCTCCTTACACACACACACACACACACACACACACACACACACACACACACACAGAGCATAGCTCAGAATGTCTTCTAACAATCCTGTATTACCAAAATATGAATAAGGTTTGCAGGAGTCTAGGGGAAATCTAACTCTGCTTGGAGGGGTTGAAGGATGCTCATGAAGAAATGGTGACGTTATTTCCACGCTGGGTTCTGAGTGTGTGGAGATTTTCATGCGTTCATGTCATGGAAGTGTCTGGAGAGGCCATAGAATGGTAAATGCAGTGTGTGTGTAAGCACATGTGTGTGAGAACATGTGCTCGTGTGTGTGCATACGTGTGCAGGGGTAGTGGCAGCTTGGAGAGAATAAAACAGAATAGAGAAATGTTTCTGAGGCAGAGCTCAATTTTTATATGTGAAAAACAGGAAGATACAGTAAAGAAAACTGGCACTCAAGGTTTTGACATAAAACATGATTAATTGGGATTTTTAGAAAAACACTTGATGCTATGAAAAACAACATGATTTTTCCATGTCTTGGCGAGGGATGGGAGACAGTGCAGTTGGAAGACACATTGTGAATATATCCATTTGGTTTCTGAAGAAACATTTCCTATACATGGGATATAATCCCCAAGGCAGTGAGGGTGTGTCTGTAGCCATTCACTCTTCCTCCCTAGCCTTAAGATCTAAGAAATGCCTTCAGCTTTATTTGGCAATTATTTATTCATTTATCAGCTTATTTAACAACAGTGTTTGAATTTCCCATGCTCCCTGGGCTAAGCTCTAGGTAAAAGAAAAAGTTCTGTCCCCACATCATGTGTGGAGACGTTGGCTGTAAGTTTTTTTCTTGCTTTAACCACAAGGCACTGTAGAAGTAGCACTAAAGATTTCTCTGTGATCAAAATTGACAAATATGCTTCATTTAGGACCGAGATTTAGAGCACACCCTGGGTCATCTGGTCAGGCCAGAGCCATCGTAGCCCAGAGGACCTGGAGGCCAAGCAGGAGGAGGCAGGAGACAAGTCTTGTGTGTAAAGTGACTTCATGAAAATGGATGAGAATCAGTGCCACATTTTTAGTTATTTATTTGATAAATATTTACTGAATGCTGACTGTGCAGAGCTATGAACCTAGCACAAGGGATATGCCAACATATATCCTCACGGCTCTCAGAGAGCAAAGACAGTGGCCGATGCAGGCAGGGGCTCAGGAGGCTGCTCTCAGGCAGCAGAGGCTGCTGAAGGCCATGAGGTGTTCATGGAACATGTCCAACATGACCCAGATCTAGGCACTGGGTTGGATGCGCACAAAATAGAAAATAAGACTCCTGCTCACAAGGAGGATTCTGGTCTGAAGCGGAATTCTGAGAATATCACAAGAAAGTAGGCCCGGGTGAAACAAAGATATGTGTGATGGCGCACAAGGAGGGGTGTGCTCCCCTGGGCTTGCAAGAATGAGCCTCGGAATGGGACGGGGCCACTGCAGAAGGCAGCACCAGTGACTATGCTGACATGCTTCTTGTTTCTGCGCAGGGTGATGTGGGACCTGCGGGGCCGCCTGGGGTACCGGGCTCTGTGGTGAGTCACTGGTGGTCGGAATCGTGGATGCAGGCGCTGGTGGAACTGGGTTGTTGGAGGAGTCTTCACCTCCAAGACTAAGGCAGCGCTCTTCTAAGGACATGGGATGAAGAGAAGGCTTTCAACACTAAAAACGGGGCAGAATCAGAGAAAAGTCAGGAGGCATGGCACGACAGCATGCCCTGTGAATGAATGTCTTTAGTGGAGCTGAGAGAGGTTGACTGTGGCTGAGGAAATGCCAACACCTTTGCTAATGCTTGGTTTGTCCCTCAGGTGCAGCGAGAGGGCTTGAAAGGAGAACAGGTAAGAGGTACACACGTCCTCTTCAAATGGGGATATAGGTCACAGCAGAAGCAGAAAAGCCACAACCATGATCTCAGGCTGAGCTCAGATGGAGCCTTTCAGACTCCAGTTGCCTTTCTGCCAGGAAAGCAATGCCCACTCCCATACCTCAGCTCCCTGTCAACAGCTCGGAAAGGAAACTTTGAGTCAGGAAAGGGCCGTGGGTGTTGTTGGGCCTGATCATATGGTGGAAAAGTCATGACTAACATGTGTTTGGCTTGTATTGCCAGGGAGCTCCAGGACCCAGAGGTCACCAAGGCCCCCCTGGGCCTCCAGGCGCTCCCGTAAGTTGTCCCCCTCCTGCAGAGCGCTTGCTCTGCGCATTTCTGGGTTTGAAAGATCATAGTCATTCCCAGGGCTGAGCATGGCGTTATCTCAAGTGCCTTCACATCACCTGAGTGGGAGGTGCTGTTGTGGTCCCATCTCACTTAGGAGAAACTGAACCTGGAAGAGGTGGGATAATTCTCTGCACATCATGCAGTTAGCCATTGGTGGAATGGGATTGAAGTGCTGGGACCCTGCCTTCAGCTTCCACGGTCCATGATGGGGGTTTCTGGGGATTCAGCCTGATGTTTTATTTTCTTTTAGATAAAGTAGAACAAAAACATTGAGGCCAGGTTCAGTGGCTCATGCCTGTAATCCCAGCACTTTGGGAGGCCAAGGCGGGTGGATCATGAGGTCAAGAGATCGAGACCAGCCTGACTAATATGCTAAAAACCCCATCTCTACTAAAAATACAAAAACTAGCCAGACGAGGTGGTGTGCACCTGTAGTCCCAGTTACTCAGGAGGATGAGGCAGGAGAATAGCTTGAACCTGGAGGTGGAGGTTGCAGTGAGCCACGATTGTGCCACTGCGCTCCAGTCTGGGCAACAAGAGCAAGACTCTGTCTAAAAAAACAAAAACAAAAAACAAAAAAACTGCACACTTACGTGCCAGTTGAATCATTTCCAGTGCACTCACTTTCCCCATGTTTCTGCTCAATTCTGACTTTGCAGTGGCCTGAAACATTTCAACCTTTGCTTTCTCCCTCTGTTAAGAATTTAATGATATGTAAATAACCACTTTGGAAGAGGCCATCCGAAGGGCCCTTGTGATTATTTTGTGATGTGAGTTCAGATACTGAGGATAATTAGTAAGAATACAGTAAACTCCACAGGCTTCCTGCTTTAAAGTTGCTTCTTCTGGTGATGTGCTGTTGCTGCTTTCAAGTTACTGTATTTTACTGAAAGAAATAAAATCACTGACTTGTAATTGAATATAAATCAGATTCATATTAAGCTATTGAGGCCCGCTATTTATTAGGATACATTTATATGTTTTTGCTGGGGTAAAAATAGAAGAAAATCAAGGGATGTTTAATTCTAGTAAAATTAAAATAATTTTATATCAAAGATTTTGGATCAGAAAATCTAACTTACATCCCTGTGACCTCTCCAGGTTCAATTTCCAGAGCTGCCCACAATTGCAACTGTTGAGAGATTTAAACTAGATAATGCAGGGAATGCAGTGTGTTTCAGTGTTTACTTTTCTATGCATATATACATGTATATTTCATATCTATTATTGGCAAGTATTGAAGGTCTATACTATAGTATGTTTTCTTATGCAAATATATGCATATTAAGTCTGCAAGGGTGAAGATGTTATTTTTCATCTTTTACCAATGAAGACATTGGCGCAGAGACATTGAGTGGTTTGCACAAAGTCACATAGCTATTGAGAAGCAGAACTGAACTGGAGCCCAGATCTGACCGTGCAGCCTTTGCTCTTTTCACCACGGAGTGTATAATACTTCCTCTGAGCTGTGTAAAAGGGAATTACTTTACTTCGTGACCCCCACTAAAGAAGAAGAAGCTAAAGATGGCTAGCCCTGCTTAATCATGACACAACCTTCTTGGGCTCTTTCTGATATGGAAATATATGGGTAGTCCTCACCCTTCATGTGGATTTTGTTGTAATAATTGAGGGAGGGAGACAAGGAAGAAACCTCAAATGTTTGTGACCACCTACCTTATATCAAGCAAAATACTAAGGTGGAAGATACAGGGATGGAATAACACAGGAGGCAGCCTCAGAGTCTGAAGAAGCAGCTATGTGAAAAAGAAATAACTGCAAATAAATTTTTGCAGTTTCTAGATGATGAATGGGAACCTCCTGCCTGTACCATTTCTAGGGTCCATTATATAGGACACGGGGAGGGTCTTGAACCTACCTTCTTTCTTTTTTTTCTTTCTCTCTCTTTTTTCTTTTTTTTCAGACAGAGTCCTGCTCTGTTGCCAGGCTGCAATGCAGTGGTGTGATCTCGCCTCACTGCAGCTTCTGCCTCCTGAGTTTAAGCAATGTCTCCTGCCTTAGCCTCCTGAGTAGCTGGGACTACAGGCACACGCCACCATGCCTGGATAGTTTTTGTATTTTTAGTAGAGACAGGGTTTCACCATGTTGGCTAGGCTAGTGTCGAACTCCTGACCTTGTGATCCACTCGCCTTGGCCTCCCAAAGTGCTGGGATTACAGGCATGAGCTACCATGCCCGGCCGAACCTACCTACTTTCAAAATTCAGATTATCTTAGCCTGATGCCCAACAGGGTTGCCCATGGTTCTGAAGATGTCCTCGAGCCTAGACAGAATGAGATTTAGTACAACACATGATGTTAGTGATAAGGTTCCCCTGGGAGTGTTCCAAAAGCAAACAGCCTAACTAAAGGCATTCTTAAGAGAAGAACAGTAATGAGAGGTCCGATACTGTAAGATTCTTTAGGTGAGGACCAATGTCTCTCCCATCTCTCAGTCCACAGGGCTTACTACATGGTGGGAACTTGACGCATGCTTGTAGAGATAGCCCTGCAGCAGGTATTCAAGAGGACCACTCAAGTGAACCTGACTGCAGCGTGAACTTAGAGAAACAGGGTCGTGGAAGGCACTTGGGATTAGGAACCAGAGCATCTGAATTCATGGCCCAATTTTTCCACCAAGTAATTTTGTGTCTTTGGTGACATTGCTTAATCTCCAGTCCTCATTCGATTCACCCCTCACTTGGAAATCTGCAGCAGCAGTGTCTTCTCCTATGTAAACATACTATGAGGTTCAATGAACTGCTGTCTGAAGCAGAGCACCATGGAACCTCACTGAGCCCAATGCCGATATCAATTGTCTTTTCTATCTGCTTTTGAATCCCCGGCAGCACCTAGCTTGGGGCCTTCTCCAGAGCAGTTGCTTTCTAAATATTCATTGGGTTGAATTGAATTGAGAAGCTGGCTTCAGTGACTTCTGTCGAGAATGGAAAATTTTGAGTTTGTGTTCAGCAGTCCCAGAGAGAGGAAAATATATCCCATTCTCTAAATGGAAACAGTGTTCAGCATTCTGCTTCCAAATGCTGGCATCTTTCATCCTTTCCCCAAGACGAAACAGGCTCTGATAGTTTTGCCAATGTCTAGTGGGGCCACTACAGGGCCAGCCATGTAGATCAATGCCAGGCATTCCTTGACCTTAAACTCATGCCTTTAGGGTCTTCTCTTTCTGTGTGTCCTGAGCTCAACAGAATCTCCTTGTTAGGAAGAGAGATCCACATCTTTAATTATTGCAGTTTGTCCATTTATTTATTCATTTACATGGTGTTATTAAGAGAAAAGACCTTGGACCTAAATGCAGCTTTAGGTCCACGTATAGTTATGCAAAATTTAGCAGCAGTAGCTATTAGTATGATAATTATGAAAATAATATTTATTGAAGATGGGGAAATTGAAGTACAGAGAGGACACTTCTGGCCAAATTCACCCAGAAGTGGCGATAGAGCCACAGCCTAAGCTTAGGGTTTCGGTTTCTCCCTCCTGTGGTATGCCTCATTCTATGGTATATATCAGGGTGCGGTCAGGGCGCCCAGGTGCCGTGCCCCAGATTTAGAACCCATTCATAACTGCTTACTAGGTGGTTGTATCATCCCCGCTTCAGAGATGATACAACTGAGGTTTAACAACACCAGGTGACTTGCCTGAGCTCATGCGGCAGAATTGAGGCAGGATGAGGGGGCAGGATTAGAATGGGGTCAGTATAACCCCTCCCTGCGTCAGTGTTCCTTGGTTAATTGGAATTGGTCTTTCCTAGGCGATTTTATTCATTTTTCCAGGTGATCATGTTTTGCACATCACTGTTGCCTGAGAGTCAGATAATCTATGCCAGTTCTTTTTGAGCCAGGAAGCTACAGGGAAAGGGCACTGGGCTTAGAATCAGACACTTAGTTCCAGACAATTCTTTTCTGCATGCTTTGTGCAAACTACTAAAGCAAGCTATTGGATGCTTGCAGTACTCAGCGTAAAGTATGAACTACGTTGCTCACCTCCTGTTAAACATACTTAATCAGATCAGATAGATGTACATGTTTTAAAGTGTTAGATGTTTGAGAGAATGGGACCTCCCAATTTCCCCATCGGAATGGTTTGGCATTACACTATCCAGTGTAGGTGAGAGTCTAAAGCCTAAGCTATGCCATTGAGCCCTGCATTTACCATTATGTTTCTCTCTCTTTTTCCCTTTTTTCCCTCCTAAAGGGTCCAATAGGCCCAGAAGGCAGGGATGGACCTCCTGGTTTGCAAGGTCTCCGAGTAAGTAAACTCTCTTTTCTTTGTGATTCCTCAGCTCTGTATGACATTATAAACTGGTCCCTAGTTTATAATGTCATACAGAGGAGATAGACTGCATCACTTCCAGGGGCTTGAAATGAATATTGGAAGAAGAATGAAGGGCTGGACTCGGTTCATCAAACACGGTTGAGGTTCTACTGTGTTCTGCCTTGAGTTGGGCATCAGGGACATGGAGACGAGCCTGTTGTCTGCCAGGAGTCATAGATAGAGAGACATAAATCCATTGGGTGATCACAGCCCCATAGTGGGGAAGCCCGGTGCCAAGGGTACACAGAGAAGAGGCAACTGACCCAGCCTGGGGAGCTTCTTGAAGGAGATGATATTTGAGCTAAGTCTTGAGAAAAGTGAGAAAAGTTACAGCTGTGCCTCTAATGTATTTGTGCTATTATTGAATATCATATATCAGCGTATTTAATTTAATTAAGCACTGTTGTCCTATCTAGACTTTACACCCTGGAAGGGTCTAATGCACCAGTAAGTACAGCTCTTGAAACGATGCCATACTTTCTGAGGGTTGCAGAGTCATGCTGGGGTGACTCCCTGATCCCCTGCGATGCTCCCACAGCAAACTGGACTGAAAGCCAGACTTGACTCTGAGTCCCTGGTTCCCATCAAGGTACCTGGGACAGGGTAGGAAGTCAGCTCACATTTGTTGAACTGTAACCCTTAAGCATGTGCTACCTTTTACTAGTTCACATGGATAACAATCTGAGGGCCACAGGCATCCACAGATATGGCAGGTAGCTCCAGGGACCAGTGGGCTTCCTGCTTCTGGAGGTTTTCACCACTGAGGTTGGGTGGGAATGGAGTCCTGGCATCTGACAGAGGCAGCCCTTATCCCACCAATGGCCTCTCTTAGCCTGGACAGTCTGTAGCTCAGTGACATGGATGGTGCCATATATTTTGCTGTGGATTCACTTCACATTCTCAGTTCCGAAAGGGGGTGGCCTGCTCTTCTCATTTAGCACTGACTCCAACCTGTGCTTACCCACTAGTTAACTTCAGTCTTTGGTTCTCAAAGAACTGTGCCTCCTATAGCCCTTTTGAATTCTCAAGATTCTACAGATAATTTATTTTAAGGCTAGATGAGATGGGGAAAGGCATCATGAAGGTGGATTGGGTGAGAGAAATTGTATCAGTCTGTTCTCTTGCTGCTGACAAACATACACCCGAGACTGGGCAATTTACAAAAGAAAGAGGTTTAATGGAAAGAGGTTCCACATGGCTGGGGAGACCCACAATCATGGTGGAAGGCAAGGAGGAGGAAGTTACAGCTTACATGAATGGCAGCAGGCAAAGAGAGAGCTTGTGTAGAGAAACTCCCATTTTTAAAACCATCAGATCTTGTGAGACTCATTTACTATCATGAGAACAGCACAGAAAAGACCTTCCCCTATAATTCAACCACCTCCCACTGGGTTCCTCCCATGATATGTAGGAATTGTGGGAGTTTCAATTCAAGAAGAGATTTGAGTAGGGACACAGCCAAACCATATCAGAGATTCACTTGCCCTCGCTTCCCATTCAGCATCAAGCCCTGGCTCAGTTTCCCTGTCAGTCAAGTGAGGCAGTCAGGTGGGTCAAAGCCAGGTGTCTTCCTCCCCCTTAAATTGGATGGATCCCAGACTTTGGAAGAGGACGCACCAGGATTGAAGTGCTGCTCCACACTCCGCAGCTGTGTGCTAGCAGGTCACCTAGCCTCTCCAGGCCAGTTTACTTCTTGCTGCTGTGGGGAAGGCATCACCACTGGCTATCCTGTTAGGAGAAAAAGTGCTCGTTAAGGGAAGTGGCCCTGGGTGGGCAGCAAGATGTGACAGCTGACATGGCTGCCATTCTCTCAACATGCTCCTGCACGGTCTGAAGAGAAACAACAATCTTTGTACATTTATGTAATTAATGTTTATGTGAAGCTTTTCTCATTTTGCATTGAACTTGGGCAATTGTTACTTTTCCAAAATAGAATTAGATGATCGGTGAAACTGTTTATATAAAGATGACTGTGAAGGTTTTTAAAATCTACATTTTTATCTAATTTATTAAGGCAAGAAGGGAACATCTTGCCCAGAGCTCACCCATTAGGCTCATACCTTCTGTATTAGTGTGTTTTCATGCTGCTGATGAAGACATGCAAAAGTCTGCATAATTTATAAAGGAAAAGAGGTTTAATGGACTGACAGTTCCACGTGGCTGGGGAGGCCTCACAGTCATGGCGGAAGGTGAATGGACTGACAGTTCCACGTGGCTGGGGAGGCCTCACAATCATGGTGGAAGGTGAAAGACATGTCTTACGTGGCAGGAGGCAAGGACAGAATGAGAACCCAGTGAAAGGGGTTTCCCCTTGTAAAACCATCAAATCTTGTGAGACTTATTCCCTATCACGAGAACAGTATGAGGGGAACTACCCCCATAAATCAATTATCTCCCACGGGGTTCCTCCCACAACACATGGGAGTTATGGGAACTACAAGCCAAGATGAGATTCGGGCAGAGACACAGGCAAACCATATCGCCTTCTCAGACACAGTTTCTTTAAGCCTGTTGGGTGTGTTTCCCAGGGTGACTGCTGTCATCTTCAGAAATGCTTTTTACCTTTCTGAGCAATACCAGCCACTCATGCAATGGGGCTCAGCTTGGTCTGAGCTTAACACACCCACAGGCCTTGGAAATCGGGCACTGCCCCAGGTCTGGAGATTTAAGGAATAAAACAGGGAGATCCAGAGAAGCAAGCAGGGTGAGTGGCTGGGGTGCAGCGATGATGGGCAGAGGTAGGATACGGTGTTCATTAAGCTCCGATTACATGGCAGCTCCCATAACAGCCCTGCCATCCCCAATTCTGCAGATGAAGGACAGGCTCGGATACAGCACAGCCACTGATGGGCCCTCAGGGATTTGTACACTGAGGGTACTGTGTGTCCCCAAAGCCTGACTTCTTGTTTTCTCCCTTCATTCTTTCCATGTGTCAGTCTGTCAAAAAGCTCATGTTGAGTTCTTGTGATGCACAGACATTCCGCTAAATGCTTTGGGATTTTCTGAAAACATTAAGGTCTCAGCTACCAGGAGCTCACAGGTTGGCTAAAGAGCCCAGTGCATAGAAACAGGTGACCTCAATGGAGACGGATGAAGATGACAGATGTTCAGAGGAGAGACGAATCTCAGCTTGAGGGAGGCTGCCGGTGGGGTGTGTGTGTCGAAGGGTGCAGGCTGGAAGCCATCACACCCAAGGGAAAAGTTGATGTTTGAGGTGGCCTTGCAGGAGCGAGTGGGTTTTCCGCAGGAGTCAATGGGAGCATTGACATCAGCCTTTTGGATATGGGAAGTGCTCCCTAGCGAAGGCATCCTGCCTCTGCACACTTGCCTCTGCCCATCACCTTTGACCCGGACTTCTTCCTCTTCAGTTTGGAAGCTCGTGGGTGTAATTAAAATGGCTGCAGACATGGCTTCTAGTTCAGGCTCACCTGGCATCGTACTGGGGACTCTCAGCCAGTCCCTCTTTTCTTCCTCTTGTATTGCCTTTTCCAATTTTTTGCTGTTTTTCTTTTACTTGCTTTTCTCCCTTCCTTCCCTTTTTCTTCTCACCTTTTCTTCCTTCCACAAATTCATCCATTCCACAAATATTTCTCCTGTATCTACTGGGTACCAGGCGTTGTTGTAGACAAGTGAGTAGAGTTCAGGAAGAAGAAGGAAGCTCCTGCCCTCATGCTGTTTATATTCTGGCAGGCAGGGGGAAAGAGACATAATAGCATGTAAGCAGGTGACACAGGAAGGCCCCATGAAGAAAATTTTCCTTGAACAGGCTCTCCGGAGGTGAGGACATTGGCCAAACTGATAGCTGGGGAAGAGCCTGACAGGCAGAGGGGACGGCTGGACCTGAGGACCTGGTGCAGGCGCAGTCTTGGGGTGTTGGAGCCTAGAGGTCCACGTGGCTGGGCCCAGCAAGGGGTCCGCAGGAGAAGATGAGGTTCATGTCAGGCCTCATGGCCATCATAAGGACTTGGCTTTACTGTGAGTGACTGATGGAGCTTTTGCATGTTTTCAGTGCTTTCTGATGAAAATCATTGATCATACACAAAGGTAGAAAGAGTGAAATGAACCTTCATATACCCCAAACCCACTCAACACTCGTAAGTTATTACTTTTACCTACCAATGAATTCATTGAAAGCAAGTCCTAAAATCATCACATCATTTTGTTTCTAAAGATTTCAGTATGTTGTCTCCAAAACAGAAGGAATCTTATCATCATTTTGCCTAAATCTATGAAAACTCCTTGAAGCTGCATCAAATAATTTCACGTTCAGGATGTGCCTATCTCGTACATTTCTGGTTGTGATTTGCCCACTGCGGGCTTTTGAGGATCACAGTGGCAGGGCCCAGATTATGTCTTAAACACATTCATGTCTCGTAGTGTTGAAAACAGATTGCAGGAAGGAGGCCAGTTAAGAGGCTTCCAGGTGATCCACTGAGAAGGGGCAGGGGCCGGGCAGAGCATTGGGCTTCTGAGCACCCATCCTGGTTCAGGCCAGATGCCAGGTGGTGGGCATGCTGAGGAAAGGGCAGAAGTCGTGCTCTGAAAGGCCCAGCATCTAGCAGAGGAGAGTGAACCAAGAGTGACAGGCAGGATGGTGGGAGCATTAGCACAGGGTGTCCCCACTTGTTCTGCTTCCTCTAGTGAATCAAGGACGATGAGCAAGTGGGTTTTGGGGTCCCATGGACTTTCAGTCATCATGGGCGATTCCCTGACTCAGGCTGTGTTCCATCCTATGGATATTGCTAGCTCAGTGCCTGCATCTAGGAAGAAAAAGGGAGTAGAAACAAATTGTAATGTGGGCTTGGAAGCAGCTTCCTGTTCAGTTGCTCTCTAGCTGAGTCAGGAAAACCCGAGACAAAATGACTTACTAAAAAAATTATCTCTCTCTTTCCCTCGCCCTGACCTGTCATTTCCTCCTCATCAACTTCAATTGA